TATCCCTACAGCCCTAGATGCAAACGACGTCCGAGTAAATAATTCACTTTGGGTTCAACTTAAGTGGTAAAATTCCCCAGGGAAAGTTAAAAATTCAAAAACTTAAGCCTCCATACTAAAGCGAAAGACAGGATTATAGAAAGGGGGATTAACCGATGTACGTTTTATGAAGGGAGTATAAGAACAGTTCACTTTCATAGCAAGCACCTCATGAGATCGAGCCGAAGACTGAAACAGAAGAGAAAAAAATATTCTCAGTCTTTCTTCCCTCTCCTTTTCCACTTCCTGTCTTCCATTAGAACTTCTTTTTTCCTTTCTTCTTTCATATAGTCAGTCCCAGCATTTCCAGAAATTGATCGTGATAAGAAATTGCTCGCCCATGCGGATCACGCCGACTCTTCCTTTCCCCGTCCGGACTGTCTTGTACTCCTCTCAATCCAACGGGGCATTTCCCATCATTTTGCGCAAACATCGCGAGGGTCGAAAAAATTACCGATTCTTCCAACCATCGAAAATGGTATCGATGAATCGACTTATCGTGACAGTCTTACTTAATACCCATTGCCTAGTCGCAACGTGGCATCATGCCGCGTATGCTTGGGGAAGGTTGGGAGGGGGCGGAAGGACTTCTGCCCGATTATGAAACCGTTATCAGACTCACCAGTACGCTGGTAGGAGGTTGCACGGCATAACAGGAAATATCATTAATAATTTTAATTTTTAGATCGTCCCGATTAGTGTTAGTTCGCATGAAGTGGACGCTAACCACATTAAAAAATGCCGTTTTTATTATGGTGTTTCTTTCCACGGCGCCCCCCCCCCCCCCCCCCCCCCCCCCCCCCCCCCCCCCCCATAAAAAATGCCGTTTTTTTTTTTGTTTTTTTTTCCCCGGCGCCCCCCCCCCCCCCCCTCCGCTGGCGCCCCGGGCGATTGTCCCTAGAAACGGCCCTGAAAATTGGAGCCACAGGACATTTAAACATATATTGAAGAACATGCTAGACAACGTTCCCTTAAATGTTTAAATATATTCTAAAATATGGGTTTTATTGCAAAGTTTCGAGTGGCATGCATTTTACATTTTTAATCAACACTGTAGTTTAACTTCATAATTTCATCATACTTCCCTTCTCGCTTCTGTTTTTCTCTCTTTTGTTTCTGCCTTTCAACAGGACTTTATTGCATTATTTTATTCACGTTCACAATAAATCAAGGTAGAGAAGGAAAACGATCACTCGTGCCACGTGAGTCCCATTACAAAAGTTGTGTAACCAACGGATATTGCTCCAGTGCAGTTTATGGTCCGAGTTGTATTTCTATAGATTGGACTACTGTATAGCTAGGAGTCACCACCCAAGCAGCATGTTCACGTAAACAAGATATCAATTTTTTGCAAACAATGTAAATTTCTTGCGATTGCCATGAAAATGACATCACGTTTACGTCAAACTTACGTTCCTATATTTACGTCCCCAAAGTAGACGTGTATTTTACATCAACTAGACGTCACTCCATCTGACGTGAAGTACATGATATCAAGTTTATGAAAAATTAACACCACACCATCCATATGAAACTTTAGCTGACCATCCTCCAGTTGCAGTACCAAGATTCCTCACTAGATGGAACCCTTGTTCCCTGCATCCTACAATTACTATTAAGTACTGGTTTTCCTGATATAGTATCAGGTTTTCTTAACATCCTTCTACTTTTTATTATGCAATCCATGAATANTGACATTTCTGCTAACATGTTGACATTTTCTTGACAATGGTTTGCGTAAAAATGATATAAAATGGACAAAAACTTTACATTCATTTTACGTAAAATTAATATAAACATGCTGTTTGGGCAGCAGCAATTGCCCGTGAAAGCAAAGATGGAGTAATGACAATCAAAATGGCAATTTTCGCGACTCATGTTACACATGAAAACCTATTCATCTCCAAGGCGTCGTATGAGATTCGTTTGCACTAGTAACTGAGGATGAGGATTTGACGGATCGTATTAAATACCTTATGGTATTGACGACATAATCGCGTGATTTCTGGGGTTTCATTTCTTTAAAGTCTCTACTCATAGTAAAACCCTGTAACTTCAATTATTATATACAAGGTGTGGAATTATAATAGGATCAGTGCATGATATCATTCACTACACTCGAAGTTTGAAAGAAAGGGTGGGTTAGTTCGTCTTTAGACATTCGATGGACAACTTCTTACGGTCTACCATTGAATGTCCTTCGATGGACCAGACTGAAACGGATATTTCTTTGATTATATCTCGGGTCGCACCGTGGCGATGAGGAACACAATCCCTTGGCTACTAGACTTGGACGGATGCTGAGAGAATTAAGCAAGAATGGTTCTCTTATTTATCTTCCTACAGTGCTTTTCACTTGACTTGGAAAACGGTCACGGGGAAGGTGATACAGCAGATCGACGCAGAAACTAGGAATTCCATTCTTAATTGCAGATGTCGTGATGACTGTTTTCCTTAATAATGTTTCAATAAAGGAGGTGACATTTCGGGCATCGTTCCTGGGTTCTGAAGTATCATTCTCCACACTGAACCTACGTAGGCTAGATTAGGTCCATCTGACGTAGACCTAAGATTGCCCATTGAAGTCCGATCCAGTGTTTCTACATCGTTGAGCCAACGGAAAATTGAAAACTTAGTCGTTTTTATTTAAATAGACTGCGTGGAAGGTCTCCTGCTGACAACGAGGCTATGCTCGCGGGTCATCGTTTCCAGTACATAGTTTGATTCATATGAAAAAGCCTATACAGTGAAAACTCGTTAACTCGAATCCTGATACGTCGAAATTCCGCTTATCTCGAACTTCAATGCATGGTCCCTGTAGGATACCATGTTAAATGCTCCGTTTAACTCGAATTCGCTTATCTCAAATTTCCGGATATCTCGAATGACATTTTCACTCCCGATAACGATTTTCTCACAGTTAACTCGAATTCAGGGTGAGAAGGGGGAAAAAATTATTCTCGTGGGACTTTTCGATTTTTGAATAGGATGAATGACAAGAAACCTGTTCGGATGTTCTTTTGTTTCTTTTGTTTTTTTTTTCTGCTTCTCCCTCCTCCCACGCAGACGCCTGTGGAGAGGTTTAAACCTGAGGATTTAAACCGAAAAGCTTCGGCTATAAAAAAAAAGCAGCCTCCAACATTCGCACTGTCTATTTATCGCTCTCACTCCGAGCCATTCTAGTCGTGTTCTACTTCCTTTACGCCATTTTGTGTGGAATGAGCTCACTCAAGAGGAAATTGAAAACTCTGACGCTCGAAGAGAAGGTGCACTTGATTCGGAATGTCGAAGAAGGCCAGCTGAAGAAGAAAGACAACGCAGAGAATTTCGGGATTCCTCCCTCTACATTCTCTACTATTATGCGCAGCAAAGATACGATTTTGAGTGCACATGAGGAGCGCCTATTTACAGCAAGTTGCAAGAAGATGAAGACAGCCAAGCATGAGGACGTGGAAGCGGCTCTCCTGAGATGGTTTCATGAAGTTCGTGACAGCAACACTCCCGTGTCTGGAACACTGATGAGAGAAAAAGCTGATCAACTTGGAAATGAACTTGAAGTTGATTTTAGTGCAAGAATCGGGTGACTGGAACGATTCAAGCACCGTCATGGCATTGTGTTCCGACGAATTTGTGAAGAAAGTGTAAATGTTCCACAGGAGGAATGCGAAAGCTGGCTCGAGGAAGAACTCTTGCATGTTCTAGGTTGCTAAAGGTGTTTAATGTTGATGAAACGGGCTTATTTTTCAAGCTGATGCCAGAAAAAACCATGACTTTTCTCCATGACCCTTGCCTTGGTGGGAAAAAGAGCAAGGGCAGAATCACAGTCCTCGTTGGTGCAAACATGGATGGGTCCGAAAAACTTCCTCTGTTAGTGATAGGAAAATCTACAAGGCCACGATGTTTCAAGAATGTGAAGTCCCTGCCTGTTCATTACAAGTCATCAAAGAAGGCTTGGATGACGTCAACAATCTTCACGGAGTGGCTGATGCAATTGGAATAAAAGATGCTGAAACAGAAAAGGAAAATTCTGGTGATTGTTGACAACTGCCCTGCTCATCCACACGTTCAAGGTCTGACAGCGGTGAATTTGATGTTTCTCCCTCTAAACACGAACTCCAAACTTCAGCCTATGGACATGGGAGTGATTCGCAACCTCAAAGTGCACTATAGGAAGCGACTCATCCAAGGCATCATTTCCGCCATTGATGAAAAGAAAGAAGTGTGTGACTCTACTCGATGCAATTCACATGTTTTTGGCATAGAAAGACGTACGGTCGTCCACTGTTGCAAACTGCTTCGGAAAAGCAGGATTTGTGCACAGAAGGATTGGTGCACATTTGTTCATGAGGAGGTTGAGGAGATGGAAATTTCATGAGATCCGCATTCTTGGAGTGCTGTGGCTCGTATCATGAACTGTGACGTGTCATTCAACGACGTTGTTCATTGTGATGATGACCTCATTGTTACTGAGCCAGTCACTGAGGCATCCATCATTGCCGAAATCAAAGATCGCTCACAAGAGAGCGAGCCCGGGGATGAGAGTGATGGAGAGCAGGAGGAAACGTACAATGCTCTACCGCCGTCTTTGAGCGATGCCAATGATGCACTGACGATTGTGAGAAAATTCCTCCTCTCACGAGGGGAAGTGCCAGTCGACATGTTTAAGGCACTAGGGAAATTGGAGGACTTCCATTTCTCTATTGCAAGTTCATTTACAGAGCAAATGAAGATCACTGATTACATGTCAGAAGAGGATAAAACTAAAAGAGCCCAGGATGAAAGGCGTTGCAATAAATGAATTTTGCATGTGGAGTATTAAGATTTCACTCATGATGAATAAAAGCCTATTATAATGCCCTCTGGTCATGTCCCTTAACGTGCCGGTTTTTTTGTTTTTTTTTTGGGAGGGGGGGCGATTCCTGATAACTCGAAACGATTTTCCCGATACCTAAAAGTTCGAGTTAACGAGTTTTCACTGTATATTGGAAGGAGAGAAAGATGTCGCTAGTCACCAGGGGCACCAGTGCCCTCGCCACCTCTCTAAATACCCCACGTATCGGTGTCTTAGTCAAGTGAAAATTGTCTAAATGAAGAGAAAAACACGGTAGCTCTTCTGGTTCAAATCCCAAAAGGAACATGAACGGATGAGTACGTTTCCGAGCTACGAGATTTGAATGAACCTCTTTGCGAATTACCTTGACCTTAGCCTCCGTGAGGTTGATGATGCTGGCGAGTTTCCTTCTGCTCGCCGAACCCAGGTACGGCGACCGAGCAAACGCCTTCTTCAGCTCTTTCAGCTGTAAGTGCACCGACGAAAATTCAATGACTTGCAGAAGCACGTATGATACTGAAAAAATGAGCACGGGCTGGAGGTGGAACCTGTTGGGTAGAGAAGGTGGTGCAGCTCCCCTGCTGTTCCCATCGCAGAGAGTCATTCTCTGGCAGATTACGGTCATCTCCGTGTGCCTTATCTGGATCTGTAATAAGGAAACGGCATGAAATAATTATAGAGGCGATCATTCGCTTCATTGTTTGCCTTGCTAATCATTTCATGCAGTAGTAAGAATCAATCAAATATGTACGGTAACTCAACAAAAAGAATGCCATAAATCATGATTTGTAGCATTCAAATAAAAAGTTATTAGCACGTGAAATTTCCCTACGGTAATGTGTTGCCTATCGCAATGAACGTAAGCGTGAATGGGATAGGTCATAGGAATTCCTTCGTTGTCGTGTTGCTGACTTAATCCTGGAAGAAAAGGCAAGCAACGAATGCATTCAATGAAGAGGGGAATTGTATTTTTCCGACTTCAACACTTGATCGAATCTTTTCCTTTCCATCTGCCTATGACGTTTATTGCGCATTTTTCTTCAACATATGATATTTTTTCCCTCAAGAAGGCAATTACGATTGCCCTATGACTTCCCATAATTAAGAACGACGAAGTGAGGGTGGAGCAACGTTTTCATACTCTCTTCGTGATGGCAATGATTAGTTCCCCAAATTCTTTAAGGAACTTCAACGTTTGCGTGACGAAGAGTAACCTCTATTTTACGGACTGAGAAAGAAGCTGCCGAAATTAATAGCTCATGAACCAAATCCAATCACTATCGCTAACATCTATAGGAAAATTGCTTCCCTATGAGAAAGGTTCAAGTACAAACAAATGAGCGCTTCCTACTTAAGCAACAAGTTACATTGGACCATCCGATTGCTTCAATTTTATATTTTATCTAATCCATAAATTCCAGGGGTAGGAAGTGTTCTGCAGTGCCTATAGGCTGAAAGGAGCTTCAAATTTTGCTAACAACCTGAGGAAGTCATTTGTGACTGGGTCCATCCATCCTGAAGGCGTACTCGGTCTCGATGAGGAGGCATCGAACTTTGCGGTGCAATCCCATCAAAGGATCTACTGGCCTGAATTTGAGCAGATGGAGTTGAGAGTGGGGTGATCAGGAGGGAAGAAGGGGAAGCGGAAGAAGATGGGAAACTGGCGTGTGACGGACTGGGCTGCTCTATCTTCAGGGTGGGTGGGATACAGGTGGAATATTGAAGACTTGAGCAGATTCCAACATCATTTGTCGCATTTACCTACAAGATATTTAAAAAAAAAAGGTTAAAAGGTTTAATGTTCCATCTTCGACCAATCAACATGCATCCAACAAGACGTGCTTTTCATGGCACTAATATGAAAAGAATACCGCAAAAAGAATATCCAGTAGTGATAGGGTTACGTGGAGGGATGTACAGAAAATGATAGTGATAATTCCCTACCTTACTTATGGTCGGATTTTGGTTGCTGTTGAAATTATTTCCCTCCCCTGACGACATATTGGGCAGAGGCTGCTGAATTCCTCCTTGATGATGCTGCAATTCATGGAAGGGTATGGATTTGGAGGGTGGAAAGGGTGACGTAGCAACCGGTGGAATCTGTTGCGTCCGATTCAATGGTACATACGTAGTCTGACCATTTGTCTGTTGTGGCTGACCAAGTGGCACTAGTTGTACCTGGTCCTGTTGCACTGGCTGTGGCGGAAAACTTCCGTACGCTTGCGTAGGTTGAGGTAAATAAATAGCCAGTAGGTCTGTTAGGTCCATATTGGTGAAAGGCTGTGTAAAAGCATCATTTCCGCCTTGGGCCATGTCGCAGAAAAGCACAAAACACAGTTTTTAACTTCACATTTGTATCACTTCAATAGAAAGCTGCTTCGGTGAGGAAAAAATGAAACTGACGAGGGTTCTATGTTCCTCTAAAAGAGTGTGATCTTGGAGGAGAAGGCCCCAGTCAAGCACTGTATCTGTAGATGTAACAGTGGGTATGAGTATTGTACTGTGCGAAATTGTATTTACCAAAGCAATAGATAATATAGAAAGATAAAATCTTGGATGTACAATAAATGGACAAGATAAAATGAACCACTAGATCCAACTCAGTCATTGTAAACGAATTCCGGAAATTGTTTGCCTTTATTATAAATACAAAGACCTGCTAAAACCGAATAAAGAAACCTTCGTAATGGTCTGAAAATAACCCAAGAATTACTTGGAAAAGCTAAGAGGTTGTAATAGCAGAATTTTTCAAGCTTTATTTAGAAATTTGGTGGCTATAGGTCTCATACTCGAAAGGCGGAAATTTAATTTTCTACTTCCCGTCGAAAGTACTTTTCACGAAAATCCCGAGCATGAAATTATGGAGTGAGTGTTTTACTTTCACGAGTAGTGACATTTTCGAAGAGTTCATGATAATATTAGATACCTTTTTGAAAGCGGGGAACCTTGTATATGCTTCATTGCATATGCGCACGTTGTCGAATATTTCGAGAGGTAACCTATGTGTTCTAGCTCGTGCTTCGACTTCAGAGATAATTCTGCTTCGCAAAACCTACACGAAAAGGCGAGGGCATGATCACTGGGAGTACATGGTACTCCATACCATGTACTCCCACAGTGAACTTTTTGTTTTTCCGACCGACTGATTTTCATGATTTTAAGTCTCGGATACTGGATTCTTTCAAAATGTAACATCTATTCTCAAGTAATTAGGTAAAATGAAATAAATCATTTTTTTAGCAACTACAACTAAAATGTACCATTTTGTGGAACAAACACTTGCATACCTGTACGCAAATGCTGATCTCTATGATTTGATTTTCCTCAGTTTTCTCTTATGAAGCACAATTCACTATTCATCCATTCCATCGTTCGCACGCACTGAATGCGAAGGGTTACCTAGCCACCCCCCTCACGCTATCGCCATCGTTTGCTGCGAGTCCTGTGACACGGTCCTACTGGGAATTCCCAGTCAGGAATGAGTCACAACCACATGCTTATCTAAGGACGAGCGCTTGGAAGAAAGGAATGTTGCCAATGCGTAAAGGCTTAAGTCAACTTTTAGCTTTATCAGAATGACGAAACTACAAGCCGTAATGCGGTGCACATTCAAATTCATAACTTACGCGATGGAATATTAAAAACAATATCGGGTTAATTGTGTATTAGGCTGATTCTATAGCTGACAATGATGAATTTACGATATCTTCTCTTCGTGCAGGTATGGAAGAGGAAAACTCCTGCTCTTGAAAAACCTCGAAAAATAAAGCACTCATTTTAAATTATGTACGTTTTGATCACTTGCGGCAATCGGGCATTGGGCCTTCGCATTCAATTTTTTTAGAACGCGAACGACTCCCATCATTCTAATTCACTTGACAATGCGTCTTCATAGAGTAAGCGCTGCGAAGTCGGCAATGAGGCTTACCACGACATATCGCGATCGCCAAAATTATGTTTCCACTACAAGTCACCTGGGCATGGATAGTCAAGTATTCTCTGAAGATGGAAGAAATGTTGTTAATATGTGCTTAGAACAGCCATAATTGCTTTTAGTTTTCTCGCTGTAGCTGCCTTCTCTAAACACACTCTGAAAATCCTGCGAAATCTATTGATATTGCAAACCTTTAGCCAGTGGCGGATACAGAGGGGACCGCCCCACCTATGGCCAGGTTAGCACTTTACTCAAAATAGCATCTGCATTAAATGTTATTAAAGCCAGTGAAATACATACTTAAGTTCTTACCCCAGACGAAAAATAAAAAAGGCGAAAGGACGAGGCATTGTGGTAGGCGGGGGTTAGTAGGAACTTGAAAACCACCACCCCTATGAAAATTTTCTGTATCCTCCCCTGATGCAGAAGTCTCTACACTTCATAAAATCCTGTGAACAACCAGTAGCCTAGCTACCGAATGTGCAATCGGCGCGACTGCACCGGAGCCCAAGGGCCGGAGGGCCCGGGCGCCGAGCTACAAAGAGGGGAAGGCAGGAGAGGAGGAGGGGGGGGGGGGAACAAAGGAGGCTGTTGCCCCGAAAGTGCATTTCGAGGGGGCCCTCTGAGGAAATTAAACAGGTCAGGTATTCGCGTTAAGTAGCAAGGGGGGGGGGGGCAAGAATCCACTTGCCTCCGGCCTCACAACTTCTTGATCCGGCCCTGGATTTATCCTTTCACCAGTGGCGGATCCAGAAGAGGGGGGAAGGTCGACTGCACCTCCTCTGGTCAGGTTCGCAGTCCATTTTTTTTTTAAGCCAAAAAATTTATGTTCATTAGCTCCTGTGAAGTGGATATTCAGGGTTTTTATTCCAAACGAAAGGCGATAGGACAGAGGGTGGTAGTAGACGAGGGGGGGGGGGGGCGAAGGGGCTGGGAACTAGGAAACAGGCCTCGCCCCTATGAAAAATTTCTGTATCCGCCACTGGCTTTGGCAAACTCCGTTCAATTCTTCCAAACAGGTATTGCTTTGTTTGGTCCTTGAATTCATTTATGAGTCCGTGGTAAATGCCAGTGATCGGTGTGCTGAGAGTCTCGATAAAGTGGTACAGACCAAGCCTGCAAGTGTGCAGAGATTGCCAAAATCTGACCCAACTTCTCTATTGACTCAGGCCCTCGGAAAGTGAAGGCCCATGGTGCTTGAGGTGTACGGTACGGTACAAGCAGATTTACAATAAAGGTATGTCCTGACCCAACGTGAAAGTGGAAGCTTCATTACAGAAACCACCATGCAAGGGGGAAGAGAAACAGTTTTCACTTCAAGTGCGGACATTTGCAGCAATCACCCTATATGTCATGAAATACACAAGTAGGACACATCTCATTGTCCCCAAATGTAAGGAGAAAGTGTCAATTTCTAAGCGAAATATGCATAACTCAGTCAAGAATATTGACTGAACGCACAGACGGAGAGGATCTATTCACTCTCGCGACACTAAGAGGCATTGAACTCCTTCAGGCAAGGCCTACAAAACCTGGAATTTGATATTTCTGAGAAGGAAACTATGACCTGTTGGCGACCAGACCTTTTCAGAACTTCGATAAACCCAACGAAATTCACATACCACTGAGTTGCAGATGTAACGGGAGAGGGAGGTTTCACTCTCTCAGCGGTAATCATTCCATGGGAATTTTTATGCTGATTGCCACGGCAGCCAAACACACACAGCACGTGTACGGTAAGGAAATAAGAAAAAAAAAGTGAAGTTATGAGTCCAAAAACCACCCTCAAATCCTATTATCATCTAGGATGGTCATGTAACCATGTCCAGGGGGTGATGTTTTTGGACTAATAACTTTCACCGTTTTCTGTTGCCTTACTTCTCTCCTGCTGTGCGGGCGGCAAACCTTACCATGCTTGAGGAGTGCATCTATGCAGACAGTATTTTAAGATAATGTAACAAGGCGGTCAGTGTGTTTTTCCAACTAATAACTTCATCGTCATCATACATTGTTATTTTACCTGCAAAAGTTGTCCATGTGATTCTCTTTTTTATACAGAAAAGAATCACCTCCTTAGGTGATTCCTCGCACTTCCTCGGTAGCGCTGATGCTGAGAAAGAACGGAGGCATATGGGGTTTATCCCTGATATTGATTGAAAAACTTAGGATAACTTAGAACCCGATTATAAGGAAAAAATCAAGACATGTAGTTTGATTCTATGAACTGCGGATTACCTTCATAACTAGATAATGATCTCTGTACTGCAAAGATAGGGAAGTTTATTGCATATCCACTAGGCATCAAGGCTAACATGACACTTTAAAATTGAGCATTATGAATTTTGCAGCTGTTAGACATCTAGAAAATCCAGAAATATCTCAACTAAAAGAATAAAAAAATTAAAAATATTGCAATGACCTGGAAATCACCAAGCATTTATGTGACATTCAACTTTCAAAGAAATGAACAAAGGCTTATTTGAAGCAGTGGTGTAAAAATTAGAGAAATTCTTGCCCTTTTGAAAAACTTAAAAACAATATACTCAAACTTTTGCCATAAAATACATTCCTAAGTCATTCAATAAGTTATCAGTCTCACACAAGAAACCATGCTTGTAAAGATATTGTTTTACTATTAGCCTTCCATTTAAAGACCACTCAATGACTTGCTCCCAATCACGCAACATTCTAAGACCAGAACCATACCTACTAGCTATCCAGCTGTTTTTGCAGTCAACTACAGCTTATTGTCTGCAAAAACCCCCCTCTTGAAGGTACTTTTTTTAGATTTGCAAATACATGACAGCCATGAATTTAGAATAAAGTCCTGATATGACTCGGACGATATCCAAATCTGGAAATAGACCTTTAAATAAGGTATTTAGGTGCCAAGAATGAGATAAAGTTGACCATGCAAGAAAGGTTTGAGATCAGAAAGGTTACTTGTGATTCTGGCATTAGAATGTTTCATGATTTTTGGGAGCGAATCATTGAACATTATGGTCATTAGACTGAAGATTGGCAGTAAAATAAGACCTGTGCATTCTTGGTTTCTGTGTGAGGCTTCAATGACTTGGTATATGAACATGTAGGAGCAGGAGAAATGGGTTACTAAATTCATCTATTAATGGAATTGGGAGTATCTCTAGAACATTAATTCTGCAATTTCAATCAAGTACACCTAATTACTTCACATTAATCTGCTCTATTTTGCTGGATAATTTGGTCAAAATCTCAAATTGTAAATCTATTGACCATTCTTGAAGAGGTTTCTTCCAGTGATCCAGATCTCACCACCACAGAGGGATTGTTAGAGAGCTTGAAGCATCAATATATGACAAGCAAACAACTCTCCAGGTACATTGAGCAGACTCTAACATGGAATACAAAATAAGCAAATGAGTATATTCCAGAAGAGATGCAAAACTGAAGTAACCTCTCTGTACATTTCCAAAGCAAACGTGGAGTCCCTTTCATGAAAGATGTGATATTATTTTTCAAATCCTCATATATTTGCATCTGATATGACCTTCAGAAGCTTTATTCTGTATATGAAAATTTACTTTTGGGAAGCAAATATAAATTCATAGGAGCAAGAATTCTCAACATGGCAAGTCCAAGAGTGTGGTGATTGAAGTAAATCAGGTATTCAAGCTCGCCTTGGCATCCCAGCATCCATGGCCAATCACTGAATCTCAGGAATAATAGTGACGTTTCCCCTATTATTAAAAAAGCCAAACTTCCATCCTTAGCATGGGTCTCTACTAATTGTAAACTAAGCAGCATTATGCTAACTGATATCTTAGTAGGAATGTTACTTAGTTTCCAAACCTTTCAGACCATGCTAAATAAATGAGTACATGAAATCAATGACATGTCCTCAACTAAGGAATCAAGAAATGGCTAATGCATGATTTTGACCCGCAATCGGAAAGAGCTAGGCAAACTGGAATCCCTTACACTATATTAGGTCAAATCCAATATTTTGACTGCATCCATAGCCTCAGGATCTCATTCGCCTTAATATAAAATGAAGTGGGAGTTCAGCATGGAAACTTGGGATAAATCATTAAGGAGAATAATCCCTATGTCCAGGCAATAATAAAAAAAACCTACCTACATGATAAGCCAAGGAATGTCCAAGTCAGACAAACCTCAGTGTTTAAACCCACCCAGATGGGGTGGGAATATGCTTATAGGCACCATTCCATTCAACTTTCAGTCACCAGTGGACTACCTACACCAATACTGTAATACAGATACATTTTCTACATATTCCCATTGCATGACATAAAAATGGTTTTAAAGTGTTCCCAACTTATAAAAAGTTTACATTACATTCAAGCATTCA